TATATATATATATATATATATATATATATATATATATATGTGTGTGTGTCTGTGTGTGTGTGTGTGTTTATATACACCAACTGTTGCTGATTAACCAACGTCATTGCTTAAGGTACAGCTAAATATTTCAGGTGCTTCAAATATAATTTTGACACCATACACTGATGCTTTCACTTGGACTTCTACGTGTTGAGCCTCGTTTTCTTACATCACGATACATCATACTTTTATTTAAACTCATTATCCTACATCTCATGGTAAAGGAAAAAAAAGGTTTAGCACTCCCTGGAGGTAAGTTTGAAATCCTATTTCTTTTACAGATCATTTGCTTCAAGTTTAGCCTGCTGTTGGTCTGAAAGGTGATGAAATTTGCACAGACTCATGATTCATACTAAAAGTATTTTGTTTACAGACCCTTCGCATCTCCTCATAGTCAATCGTATAAAGTTCCCTGTGCATAAAAGATCACCAGATTCACATGAAATTTAATTAGCTCAAATATCTAAGTCCCCATCCATTAGATTGTGGATGGATACATTAAAGTACCCAGGTTAGGCAGCCAAACATCCATCCATCCATTTTACCTAACTGCGTATCCTATTCAGGGTCGCAAGCGGTCCGGAGACTATCAAAGTGGCTACAGGCGGAGACAACCCAGGATGGGGTGCCAACCCATCGCAGGGCACACACACACACACCAGTCACTCACACACCAATCACTCACACATGCACACCTACGGGCAATTTGGCAATGGTAGCCAAACAGCTCCTGTTATATAGCACAGCTTCAAATTGAAACCTGTCCTCTAGATTATAGACGATTATACCCTGTGTAGCGACGCCGGAGGCCACCTGCTGGATATAGGATGTCACAGTTCTCTACTTTAAAATTCAGCGGTTATGAATTTCAGGCAAATCTTAACTACTTCATTCCGCAGCAAGCATAAACTTGAGAAAAATCTTTGACTACTAAAATGTTACTTTCCAGTGCTTGCCTGTCTATGTGTGTATTCATCAGGATTGCCGATTATGCGTGTTAGTGCTTATTCGTATGTATGTCTTCCATGCCTATTCTTTGACGTTTTCTACCTGGCAAACCGTTCTGCAGCCTTCCGCACGCAGCCATGCGTCCCCTTCCCTCCCCAGGCAGATCGCCACCAATCCGGCCCGGTGTCGCGGCGCGGCGCGGCGCGCTACGTTTGCGCGCTCCAGTGCTCTCCACCAGGCGTGTCCCCGCGGGCCGATTCACACGGAGTTCGCGGTGTGACGTCAGCGCGCTCGGCCAATCGCTGCGTCGGCCCTGCACTCGCCTTTTAAACGGATGTCAGAAGTAGTGAACCTACTGTACGGCCGTGCCTACCGCTCGGACCATGGCGGAAGACGACGACACGAAAATTCGGGTTTTGCAAAGTCTCCGGGGAAAGATCTGTAAGTGTGGGGCGCCAGTCCGGGGCCGCATTTAAGCGCCAGGAGCGGAAAAGCTCTGGACGCGGAAAGGGGCGCGGTGCGATCGGTGTTAACAGGCTAATGAAACGGGCACGGAGGGGATCGCGCTTTGTTAGGGTGAATGGATGTTGCCCCGGGCCCCGCCAACTCACGGGTTCCCTTCTGCACAATTTGCTGCCCCGGTACCGGGGAGTTTCGGAGTGCGGCGGTGGTCCCGGGTGGCGGGGCGAAGGGGACGCGCATTGTGCGGAAAGCGCAGCCCGGAGCGGGCGCACCGACAGCCATGTCACACGGTGCCATGTTTCACGGCGAGCCGCAAACTCTCCCGCATCATTTCGGTGCGGTTCCCAGGGAGTAAATTCACAAGTGGCCGCGTACTTTCCGAAAGAGCAGACGGCTGACGGCGGCCGTGAGAGAGGAGGCTTAAGGAACCGCGATGTCCCGAAATGTTATAATATCACTTCTCCGTTGGAGTGAACTTGCGAAATGCTGCTGGCAGGAAGTTGTCGCTCGGCGTAGAGTAACTCCAGCAAAGTGACTCCTGTCCGGCTTTACAGCGCTTTACAGGCGGCCCTGGTCATTCCGCTCCGGCTTCAAAGTGCCGTAGGAATCCCCAGAAGGCCTGGTGTCACTGATCCCGGCCCACATTGTTTTCTAAGGGAAACGGGTGATAATTTAGTCATTCAGGTTCCTATTTTTTAGGACTGAATTAATTTGCTTATTTAGAGAAGGAGCGAGAGAAATGATGGCCAGTTTTTGGTCTCCCGCTTGATTGCATATTACCTATATGCATATTTCCCATGTATTTTATTTTGGATACACGCTGAAAACAAAATGTTCTGATCGCCTGAAGAGCTCTTGCGGTTAAAAGCAGTTAATTAAATTCCCTGACAGGCGCTGTAAGTTTACATAGGTGTAATTGTTTCCGATGTACCATAATATATTCACCAGTTTCACTATGTTTACACTAGGTGAAATTAATTTAGTGACATTATCTTAATAAGATGATTTATTGAATGATCCTTCATTTGACTTGTGACTTGTTGATTATGCAAATGTATGCGCACTTCCCTCGTGATTATAGGTGATGTTTTCTTTAATATCATGGACGTCAGCTTGCTTTCCCTTTAATTATTTAGTTATGTCTGGCTTGTACTGTTCTTTTTTTTTTTTTTACCTTCACGGAGTAATTGTGCATTAAAGAACATGACTAGGAGTCTGTGTTACACACCTGACAGGCAGATTCTGCGAGCGTCTGGCAGATAATAGCGCTCATCGGGGTTGCGGTGGCGTTTCATAGGCTTCTCTGAATATAGGTGTCGGCGATCGTTATGAGGCTGTGTTACCTGGGTGGCCGGGTGGTCATGCTTAAGTCCTGTTTGTTTGTGTGCATTGCAGCTGCTTGTGCCTCGTCCATTTCCCTTCATCAGCATCTCGGATCCCCGTAGGCAGGATGGGACACTGACCTGCAGTGGGGTGGTGCATGTGTCCTGCTCGTGTTGCCTGCGTTTGGTTAAGGTGTATTAAACCGTAGAACCCGGCAGGAGGACGAGGGCGCGATGTGTGGAACAGCCTGTCCACAGCGGAGTAAAAGTACACTAGTCTGCTGTTTGAAAATCGCACTTATGTCCCGTGAACCACCACACTTAATCAGAATCTCTCCTTGTTCCAGGAAGTAAGCCAGGCAGTATTTGCTCATTTTTTTAAAATTTAGTTTGTGTTTTTATTTTGTTACTGTAGCCGAGAAAATATCATTTGAACTCCTTCAATGTATATTGTATATCTCTAATGTGATATTATCTGAACTGCAGGGGGATAATGGGTATTATCCTACTGTGAGCTCATTATTAGATTGATTTATGTAAGTTTCTTTTTCTGGGGGAAAATATAGTATCAGCTGATTTTATTTATTTATCACTGATAGTGTTCTTTGATTTTGTGAAGTCTGGGAGGAGTTTTAAAGATGAATTATACCTATATTGTTGCATTAATTAAAATCTAACTATAACGTATTTGTCTGCTTACCTTACCTGCTGAAAATGAATTTATTGTGGTTATACTTGGGCCTTAAAATGAGTTGTAGCTGGGGCCTGTTCATGAATGAGATGGCTGATGATGAGGATGACGATGACGACAAATAGGCTCTACAGTGAGAAAGGGAAATATGGTAGAAATACGGCAGAACAGTTAATTCTTTTTGTATAATGAAAATTTTAATGGCTTCTTTTTCTGGTGTTTTAAGATGAAGTTTTTTTGGATAGAATCTTGGATAGATTTATTTGTGTTTTTATATTTTATAGTGGGGAATCTGATGTGCAGGTGCTAATTAATCAGACTCTATATATAAACTGTCAAGTGTAAAATGTTTTTTTTTCTTTCAGTAATAGTTTAATGCTGCTGTTGTTTAGTCAGAGCTTGTGGTCTGTTTTGTTGTGTTCTGTGCGATTATACTAGATGTAATTCGAGATACAGAGTGATGCCAGTGGGCCGGGGCAGGATATGATGTACTCTGGTTCCGGGGGGCACGCTGGCCGGGCAGGTTCTGTCTGATCGTGGGTCAGCAGGGCGCCCTACTCTGCGACGTGGCACATTTCCGTTTTTGTGAACCCCGCCGCCCCACTGCAGCAGAAGTCCTATAGGTGGCGCTACAGAGCAGCCTTTCTCTGGAAGTCTTGCTTGGCTGGATGCTGCTAGAATTTGAACGAGCAGTAAAATCTGACAAAGTTCTTTTTTTTGTTTTTTTTTGTTTTTTCTTTTTTCTGAAGCGCGAAGAGTCGACATGAAATCAAGATGAGCCCAAACTTAAAATTTAAGATTTACATAGAATCACATAATTAAAAAAAAATAATAATTGTTTTAAAGAATTGTTTAAGAAGCTCTTTATGAGGGCCTGACCTCAGAATTCAAGAAGTTTTTTTTGTATTGAGGTTTTCTACTCTAGAACAAGATTGAATGAAATGTATAGACTGTTTCTGAATAACTGTTTTATAAAGTAGACAGTCTCACATCAAAGTTCAAGTGATGAGTTCCTTAGGGCGGGCCGGGGGGGGGCGGGGGTGTGAGTATGTGTGTGCCAGTGTGCAGCTTCTTCATTGATTGAGTAAAAGTGTGTTGGGAAACAGCTTGGTGCTGCTCTGTGAATCAGCGCTCTACAGGAAGGCCAAAGCATGCTGGGAGGAAGCTGACACTGCAGGCTTGTAACCACATCTTATGTACATCTCCTCTCACCCTCGCCACATCCGCTGATCAATGCCAGGACCCCACACTGGACTCACACATAACATAACGAAAGATCACAGAAAAAAAATCATTCAGAAGACAAAATTCAACATATGTTATTTAAAAAAAATTATAAATCTAGTTTGTTTTTTTTCTTCTGATTTCCATATTGGCCCTTTCATCTATATCTGCTGCGTTGAGCTCAGCAGGTCGCCGAGGCAGAGTGATGTGTAACTGCTGTTGTCATTGTGCTTTGACTGACAGGTGAAGCGAAGAATCTGGGTTCCTGTTCTGGGCCGAACTGGCTCCGGGATGGCTGCACCTTCTGCACCATCAGCCTGGACCAGGAGGAGGTGTACCGCACCAAAGTGTTTGAGAAAAATCTCAGGTAATGGGGCGTGCTTTCACTTTCCCCCCTCTGCCTCTCGATAAGCCTGTCAGCCTGTATGGCTGATGCGATTGGCCGGTCAGGGGTCACCTGACCGAGCCGTCACTGGCCTTGCAGTGTGGATTTTTTTTGTACCGTCTCTCTTTATCAGGGTTTACTGAAGTAGTAAATATGCCTTCCTGTTTCACCCGATGAGAGATGGGCTCATGACTGTTCTTCATGCTCATAGACCTTGCTGTTCCCCAGCTGTACAGACTTAAATTTTTTTGTGTGTTGACATTTCGCCCGTTCAGATTGTCGAAGGAAATGCACCCAACCGCACGCCATTATTTGTCTGTAAATACATGCCCATCCCTTGCGTGTTCCCACACCTCTCTTCCTGTCCCCCACCCACTTGCTACTCGTCCCCTCGTCACTCTGCTTGTCTCCAACGCCCCGTAGTGAACAGAGAGCATTATGATGATCACATGAACAAAACCAAATGCTTTTAATTTTCTCTATTCAGACGTGGTGTTTTTTTTTATCATCTTACCTTCTCGCATGAGTCTTGCCTAAATAACATCTTTTAAAAAAATCCCTCTTCTGACATTTCTTTGGCTGTGGTGCGGGGCTCAGGGAGTGACCAGAAGGTCGCCGGTTCAGATCCCGTGGTCGGTGGAGTGATTTCATCGTTGTGCCCTTGAACAAGGCCCTTAAACCACCCCCCAGTCGCTTCAGGGACTGGCTGACCCCGTTGTCGCAGTTGTATGTCACTTCAGATAAGAGCGTCTGCTAAAATAGAAGTATAAACAGAAACAGGAGAGAGATTGACGGGTGGCTGTTTGTCCCCTGCTCTGTTTTCCAGCCCTTTCTACGGAGAAGACTTCTATTTTGAAATCCCACGGGCGTTTCAGTATTTATCCTTCTATGTTTATGCGAAGACTGTTATCCAGAGGGCCCTCCCTATAGGTAAGTCTGCACGCACGTGTACCCACCCGCATGCCTGTTTAACGCGTGGTTCCTTGTGAATCCCAGTCATGTGTGTCTGTGCGTGTTCCTCCAGGAAAAGTGGCGATCCGCAAAGAGGATTTGAGTAAGTACAGCGGGAAGGAGCACTGGTTTGGTCTGCAACCTGTGGATGCCAACTCCGAGGTCCAGGTACGCTGGTCCTCCACACGCGTGTTCAATTCTAGCACTAATCCATAAGGTGCTGGACTCGTTAACACCCGTTTAATAGCTCAGGTGTGACGCAAAGATCAGCAGCGAGGGTAGCTGATGGAGGGAAAGAACTGGCATTGTCATCTCATTAGCATAATTACTTGGCAGTTCGTTAGCAGCAGTACTGTGTCTGTCTGAAGCCAGCATGCTACGGGATGTTTTGGGCGCAGACAGAAAACCGCTCGCAGTAGTTAAGCGATTGGGTCCTGGAGCTCAGCAGTCACGTATTTTCCTTGGATGACAATGACAGAATAATAGGTCATAATAAGTAACGTGTAGACACTCCAAGAGTATAATGAGCCCCCGAGTGAGTTTTACTTTTGACTCTACCTCTTCAACCTGATTGGGTCACATGATGAACATCCTTCCTCCTCTGCCCCGCCCCCCTCCCCCCCTTCAGGGAAAGGTCCATCTGGAGATGCGACTAAATGAAGTCATCACAGATAACGGATCAGTGTGTCAGCAGCTGGTGGTCCGGTAAGTGGAAGGGGATCGGGGGCTGGCGGGAGGGGGGGTGTGCACAGGGTGGGGGGTGGCTGTCTTCCTGCAGGAAGGAGTCCAGCTCCCGTCCGCTCCGCAATGTTTATGTCCGTTCTATGAAGAACTTAAGCAGAAAAAGTGATTTGCTGGTCCTCATGCATTGCATAGAACGTTCTGCTTCATTACTGTTGTGCTTCCTGCAGCATCATTGAGTGTCAGGGTCTCCCCTTGGTCAACGGGCAGAGCTGTGACCCCTACGCTACGGTGTCGCTCGTGGGACCTGCCAGGTGAGTCCGAGGCCTCCGCCCTGCCGTGCGTGTACCATGCGGAGAACGCCCACATCCGGCTCCTTCACCATCCACTGTGATTCTCAGATCTGACCAAAAGAAGACCAAGGTGAAGAAGAAAACCAGCAACCCCCAGTTTGGAGAGACTTTCTACTTTGAGGTACAGATTGAAGCTCTGGGGTATTACTGAGAGGTGGTAGGCCAGGCCGTACATGCACTCATCTGTGTTAGTATATATACCAAGAGAAGTTAAGTGTATATACCCAGTATGCTATATAAACCAAATTCTGACAAAAAAATGTGATATATATATATAAATGCTGACCCAAAATGCTGAATGCTTTGAAACTTAGATTAAATTTGAACATAATTTGCTCAGATTTATTTATTTTTATTAAATAAAATGATTCCACTAACTGGGTTATTAATATAGTAAGGAAGCAAGTTCTGATTTACTGTTGTTCAAATTTCCGCCTGTATTTCCCATCAGAATCCCAGACAGTCCCTGTTGAGAGGAAGTAACATAGAAGCATATCCCACATTCAGTCCATTTTTATTATTTTAACCATGAAGATTTAGGATTTTGTGATATGTGAGAGATCAGCCCAGGAGTGTGTTTGTAGCGTGTTGGTGTGATAATGACTTTGACAGGCCGATCAGAGGAGCTGAGTGGGCGGGATTCGCAGTGACTCAGTGTCGTGTGTTTAGTCAAATACTTTGGCAGATGCAGTGGCTGGCTGACATCACTGCCTGTTTTTACAGTTACATGAGAAAAAACAATAAGTGTGGCATGCAGGTAAAAATGGGCACCAAACCAGGAGTAAGGTAATGGGTCACCAAGATGGACCAATGACTGGTTACTAACCTCGTGATGGCGGACTGGTTGTTTTTCCTGTGTCACATGACCCGCTGTTGTTGGCAGGTTACCCGGTCCAGCAGCTATACTAAGAAGTCTCACTTCCAGGTGGAAGAGGAAGACATCGACAAGCTGGAGATTAAGTGAGTCACACCTCCTCTTAGGAGGGAGATGTTGTAGAGACATCTGTCCACTGGCATGCGACTGGGGCTGAACCGAAGCTAGGTTTTTGGCACCCCCGTAACACTGTCTGTTTGGTCCCCACCACGATCCAAAAGCACACCAGTGACTTGAGGCTTTTCTCCCCGAGGGTGGAAGTGAGAGAGCCCAACCAGTCATCCATCCCGATAAATAAATTTGTAAAATAGTAAATGTATTTACAATAAACGATTGTACATTTATGGGAGTAACATAAACCTCATTTTCAAATATAACTGCAATGTAGTTAAGTTTTATGGAACTTAGGTTCAAACAGCACTTTCGTCTGACCAGTAGGGGGTGCAATTGTACCTCTGGTAAAACCACGTACACGTAAGCGTCTTCAGAGAATGTTCTAGTACGAGCAGCACGTAGCAGACATGGAGAGGCAGCCCTTGGGGTGGAGTCACTGTAAATGTTGTCATGGTACGATTAAGAATGAAGTGGTTCTCTCTGAATGCTAGTCGGCCGCTGGCCTCGTCTTACAATGAAAGCGACGCTTCTGTCGTGGTTAGTAGAGCGTGAGGCTTCGAGTAGTCAAGCACATCCATTAACCATGTGTTTTTAATTGTTTCGTTTGCACACTGGTTTTTCAGCAAGGTAGGACTAGCCTGGTGGACAAGGTAACACTATGAAGGTCTCCAAAGGTCCTGCATGTAAACTTTGGATGGGTAGAGATGTTTTGACCTTTTTTGTATTTTTGAAGACCTGCTGTGTTTGCTGTTCTGCTTGAGAACTGTGTGGACTGTGTCTTCTGCTGCTGTAGTTGTAGTTTTTCTAACTTAAATTTCTGTTTCTGTGATTTGCATTGTTGGCCTCTTGCTCTTCCCCCCCCTCCAGGGTCGACCTGTGGAACAATAGCTTGGCCCAGGATGTTTTCCTGGGAGAGACCAGAGTTTCAGTCAAGATTCTGCGTAGAAACTCTATTCACCAGGCCTGGTGAGAACAAGAGCCCCCCCCCTCCTGACACACACGTGTTTGTTTTTGTATCTTTGTGAGGACTCTCCATTCGTTTCTATGGGTGACCTTAACCCCTACCCAGCCCTAACCTTAACCATAAGTAACCAAACGAAATACAGATAACTTTTTGGCATTTTTAGTTTGCCGATTGCAGCCACAGATTTTTATGAAACTGAGTTTTCTCTTGTGAGTACCAAAAAATTGTCCCCAAAATGTAAAAATAGGCTTTTATCACATTGTGGGGACATTTGCTCCCCACAGTGTACTATATGCATAACACACACACACACACACACACACACAGTAAGTGTGTTGCTTCTCCTCGTCCCCATGGAAGGTGGCAGAAGCTGATGGTGAGATTTATCATTTATCACGTTTCAGCAGACTTTTCTTAAAAATCAAGACACCAGCGGCAGCCTGTGTCAGTCTAGGTCTATATTTTCGGCAGATATTTAGACTTAAGTCAGTATTCGGACTTGACACCAGAGCTAAAGATACAACTGCTAAAATACTGATTTAAATTGGACAATTGGGCATTTTTCTTCACAATGGGAGATGAGGGATTTCCTCGCCTCATTCAGCACTTAGGGCCTCACTGCAGTCTCCCAAATTGGCACTGCCTCATTGATATCTCACTGCCTTATGTGGTCATTTCTACATCAGTGCACCAATAGTGACCGCTGTTGCCGATCTCAGGACTTGCCTTTATGTCATTCCCGTCTGTGTGGGAGATGTAGCGGCCTGTCTAGTTGTTTTATACCTGTGTGGGGCCTGACAGGGATCTCTTTTGGTTTCAGGTACTTGTTACAACCGAAGGGCAACTGCAAGACATCAAAGGCGGACGAGCTTGGCTCCCTGCGCCTGAACGTGACTTACATCGAGGACACGGTGCTGCCGTCGGCCTGCTACGAGCGGCTCCGTGCACTGATGCTGAAGTCCCCGGATGTGAAGGTACCCAGCGGGCCACATTTCGGCCTGCGCCTCGCCCCAGCCATCCTGGCCCGCTCCCTCTTGGCATTGATGCCCGTCCCTCGTCTGCTTTCCCCAGCCGATCTCTGCGTCAGCGGCCCACATCCTGGGGGACCTGTGCCGGGAGCGCTATGAGGCCGTCCTACCCATGGTGCGCCTACTGCTGCACCACAACAGCCTGGTGCCTTTCGTTACAGCCGTAGCGGCACTGGAGCTGGAGAACACGCAGTGAGTGCAGTGCCGCGGCCGGCCACTACGTGCTAATGAGCTAACATGCTAAAATGCTAACGCCGCGCCGATTTCCAGCCACGCTAAACCAGTTGCAGAGGGGACTGGTGAATCATCGCACGTCAGTCTTTCAGACCCATGCAGCCTAGAGTTCTTGGGATCTGGTGGGCACCATAAAGCTGTTTGTTTTTCCCTTAGCAGGCTACGCTAAGGTTATGCTAATCAAGCTAACAATGGTAGCGACCCTCCAAATCCTCATTTCCCCGGCAACACGTTATTCAGGTCGATGCTGTTTTCCATCCTCGGGGCGTGTAGGATTAGACCCTTGATTCACAGATAAGACCCAGCGGAGAATTTATGAGATTCATTAGCAGTCAGAGAGCTGTGTTCTCCTGTCGACTAGCCATTAGCTGGCAGTGTTGCAGAACTCAAGTCCCATCATGGACTTGAAACTGGTCTCGACCATTTTTTTTTTACTTACTCTGTCTTCTCTCTAAATCAAAAGCATTTCTGCTCAGTGTTGAATCGATCTTTGACTGCAGCTTCTATGGTTCAAGCTCGTAAAATTGCCCATTATTCAGAATTGTATTGGTTGTATACTGCAGTTGTTTTTGAAAATACTGTTCCAGAGTGCAGCGCTACCTTGGAAATCCCTTCATAAGAGACAAGATGTCAGTTTCAGTTGTTATTCTGTTTGGCTACATGAATCACGGAACTGATTTTCTCACCTGCTCAGTCCACTGGACATTATTAGAGTCAGAATGCGCATGATCACCATTTACGTTTCACATGGTTAGTTCTCCCCAGAAGCTCTTGCAGGTATTTACGCATAGTTACGCAGGTATTTATGTTAATGGTTTTCATGCTGTTTATAAGAGTTCTTTGATGGCTGGAGCCCCAGCCAGTGCATGTATATGTTCCCTCCCAGGTCTTGTCTGAGGTCTGTGAGGACCGGTTTGAAAAACACTGCACAAGTGGAAAAGCAGGCATACTCGGATGTATAACAAATCTGTTCTCTTTCTTTGTTTTTCACCCTGACTCGTCTAAAACATTACAGAGCTTATAAAGTTGAAGGGGGGGGGGGGTATGGAGTTGTGTAGCCTGCCATCTCAATCTCCCGGCTGCTGTGATGTTTCTTCATCCAGGGAAGCAAACACCATATTTCGGGGCAACTCGCTGGCAACGCGCTGCATCGACGACATGATGAAGATAGTGGGCCGGAGTTACCTGACCATGACCCTCAAGCCCGTCCTGGACGAGGTGAACCTCACATTCGCATCAGACATCAAGCAGCCACAGAATCTCGCCTGATCTGTAGAATTCAAGATCAATTATTGTTTTTCATAGATCTGTGACACCAACAAATCATGTGAGATTGATCCTTTAAAACAAAAAGATGGAGACAATCCAGATGCCAACAAGGTAGGTCTGTCTGTCTGCCTCTTGCTCTTTCTCTCTGTCTGTCTGCCTCTTGCACTGTCTGTCTGTCTGTCTGCCTCTTGCACTGTCTGTCTGTCTGTCTGCCTCTTGCACTGTCTGTCTGTCTGTCTNCTGTCTGTCTGCCTCTTGCACTGTCTGTCTGTCTGTCTGCCTCTTGCACTGTCTGTCTGTCTGTCTGCCTCTTGCACTGTCTGTCTGTCTGTCTGTCTCTTGCACTGTCTGTCTGTCTGTCTGTCTGTCTCTTGCACTGTCTGTCTGCTAATGTTGATGGTGTGTGTCTTTGCAGGAGAATCTGCAGCAGTTCGTGCAGAAGGTCTTCTCCTCCATCACGCAGTCCAGCGTCAGCTGCCCGCCCATCATGTCCGATGTCTTTCGCTCCCTGAGACACCTGGCTTCTAAGCGCTTTCCCGGTGAGTCCATTTGTTCTGTCGAGTATTGACTTCAGACTTCAACGGGACAAAAATTTTTGTGCATTGAAAAGGGGAAATATTTGAGCAGTGACTGGTAACGGGCTGATTAAGGGCTAATGATTACGCTATTTGTATAAATGATGGATGTCATTTTCCAGGCTCTGATAATAGGCTAATGTGTAAATATGTACCTGACTGGGATTTAATGGTCATCTACTTTCCCCAAGACGTCAGGGGCGTCGTGCTGTATCACATATAAATCATTCCAGGAGAAGCTGTGAACTGGCTGATGCTGAAATGATTTGCTCTATTCTCGTTTTGCGTGTTATCTGATACATCGAATGCATTTTGTTAACTTGGGAGTAACTTTATCACAGACATGGAACAGCGGAGGGAAGTATAGATTGGCCTGGAAAATAGCCTTTTGTGCATGGGCATATGACAAGTATATGGGGGGGGGCAAATAAAGTGGTGGTGAATAAGAACAATAAAAATAATAATATAATAATAATTTTAAATAAAAAAATGCTACTACTAATAATAGTAATATTACTAATGACAATATTCATAATATACTCATAATTTTTCTTTGGTTTACTTATTTTTAGTGTCATGTTTAAATATATTTTTATTTTAATATCCTCTTTAATATACTACTGAAGGTTCTGGTTACACATTGGCATTGTAATTTGGTCCGTTATGCATGAACGTCTAGAACGTCCAGAAGTTAGAAGTACAGGGTAAAAGCAAAAAGACAAATAAAGCATCTTAAAGCTAAATATTCATGTAATACAAGAAATACAGGCTTAAACTGCATGTAAGGATCATCTAGTTATGCCTTAATCTATGACATGTTCATGGAAAAAAATAAAGCCAGTGAACAGAGATAAAATATTAAGCTGGGGGGGGGGGTCACTTTCACAGCCTCAGCCTTCAAAAGGAGGACAAAGGAGATCAAAAGATGACAAGTCATTTGCATTATGTCATCACCTAGGGCTGGATTGATGGTGATAAAACATTATATTGTGATTTTGAATATTCATTGTCATCAGTTTAAATATCTATATAATATATAATAAAAAGTGTATGTATGATACTTTTGTTGCATGATTAATGGTGATACTGCGTTATTTTTAAACAAATTCCATCAAGGTACGAGTCTGTTGTTGGCATCATTTATCATTATGCTTGTTATATGCTACAGAACTTTGTAGAACAATTTGGTCGTCATAATCAGAAAAAACTCAAACGCCCATCATATTTTACTGTTGTCTACATATGAATTTTAGAATATCATGATAAATCTTGATATTGTGAAAATCTCAGAAAATATCATGATATAATTTTAGAGCATATAGCCCGGGTCTATCGTCACACAGTAAATTTGAAAACTGGTTTCATAAATCAAACCAGTGCGGTATGTCTGCACTGCACTGCACTGCACTGCAGTATGTCTGCACTGCACTGCACTGCACTGCAGTATGTCTGCACTCGCTCACAGTCTGTGTACATTTCTCATAGGAGTTTAACTCAGCACATTGCTTGTAACATTTCAGTTTCTGTTTGTAAACTCTTGATTCCTCTTTCTGTGGTTTTTCATATTCAGTCCCGCTGTTTAGCGCTGTCGTAATTTTGAAAGTAAAATCGATAGACCATTCAGGCAAGTCTCAGAAAGCTGTAAGCAGGGCTTCACTAACTACTGCAGTTTGCATTACTGTCCAGCTCAAGTCCCGAAGTAACTAGTATCTCTGTAAATGACATATAATTTACTTTACTTTTTCTTTGAAAAGTAATTACAAACGTTCATTTTGGACTTTTGGCACTCTGATGGAAAGTCGGTGTTTGGTGAGGCATTAAGGATCAGGATAGCGGGAAATCCTGGTCTGGAGTCTATAGAGACTAAGGCGTTTAAAGGAAAAGTAAGTGGACTGGGTTCATGAGAAGTGGGACCAGCAATTTCTTAAGGGATTTTTTTTTTTTAAAGAACCAGTAAGTGGACTGGATTTGTCCAGCAATGCAGAGAGAACCACACATGTGTAGCAAAAAAAAAAAAAAAAAACCCATTTTTTTTAAAAGGGGGGGGGGGGGGGGGGGGGCAGGTTCCCTCTGCCCCCTATAGCTCCTACGTCCATATTTATGTCGTCTTTAAAAAAGCTAAAACAACAGTGGAGACGGTTTGCAAGCTAAGCTGTTACGCAATGGCTGCCATGCTAGGGGAAGCTCGTGGGCTTGGTAGAAAGACGGTGGATTATCAAAGCATCACTGACAGGCCTATTGCTAGGGAATGGTTGTTTGCCACCTTTAGCTCCCGAAAGCTAATTTTTAATGAATCTTTCACACAAATCTGAGCAGCCAATTAGATATTGAACTGGAGTCAAGTCAAGAAAATAATCCAAAGCAGAATCTGGAGGAAAGTCAAACACACTCTGTTGGCCTTTTTAAACATGTTATGCTTATTGGCCACAAGGGGGCGGCAAAGTCTCAGTACATGGGTTTGGGTTGCTTTGGACAGCGGTGACTTCTCTGTCTAACTCCAGGTTACTGATTTAAAACTTTTGAATAGTTTAGTAAAAATGATTGTCTTTAGCAGGTTTCTTTTAGTTATTCGATCTCTGAGGAAGGTGCAGCAGTGCTTATTTTTTCATTGCTTTGTAGTTGACAAAATGACGCATTTCAGTAAGTTCTGATAAATATTAGTATTGGTAGTATATGGCTGTACCTTTCCTGTCTTGCAGTGTGCCTACAGCCTTGTGAGGGTGTGGTAGGATTGTTTTTAGAACTTAAAATGATTAGGTTTGCAGAAAGAAAACCTAAGATTTTAGCGTCTCATGACTGCCTTTGGGGAAAAAACACCGGAGTCCATTCAGCCTTGCATGCATCCCTGTGGAACCTTCTAAGGTTTCTGCAGAGTTCTGCACACTGGGTTTAACTGACACATCAGTCAGTTGCACCCGCGGCTGTTTTGTTGTTCCTACAGTCCTGTTTTGTCTCTGCCGTTGCCCTCTCCTCTCCTCCTTTGACCTCCCCATGATCTCCTCGTGTTCCTCTGTCCCTCACAGATGATCCGCATGTCCAGTATTCCGCGGTCAGCAGCTTCGTGTTCCTGCGCTTCTTCGCCGTGGCTGTTCTGTCGCCGCACACCTACCAGCTCCGCCCTCATCACCCGGTACGTTTACCCGCTCCGTACCGCTCTACAGCGGCTCGGGCCTGTGGCGTTTTGGGAGTGACGTCGTCTTTTTCAGGACAATGAGCTGACCCGCACCCTGACCCTCATCTCCAAAACCATCCAGACTCTTGGAAGCTGGGGCAGCTTGTCAAGGAATAAGCTGGTATGGATTCCAGTCTCCTTGGCTACTCATCAGACACTTGCATTCAAATCCTTCACTGTATATATGCTGGATTTATAACTGTACATCTAAATTACAAAGACCCTTTACCATGAGTGTAGCATTTGTGTCGTTCAATGCGTTTGTGTCTAATTTCCTCATTTTCTTACAATTTAATTGCCATGTTCTTCTGCAATGCAGTCCAGTTTTAAAGAATCCTACATGTATGAATTCTTCAAGTCATTCCAAGAAGAGAAATATGTTGAAGAGGTTAAGAAGGTATTTAACGTTGATCGACCTTGTGCTTGTGTGTCTTTATCTTGGACTGTATGTGAGGCTTATTTTCCATGGGTTTGTGCTGAATTCCTGCTCCTCCCCAGTTCTTAGATGAGATCTCCTCCAACGTGAGTAAGGGCTCCGTCGGGGTGGAGGACGCCGTGGTGCTGAGAGAAGGGTGAGTGTGTTGTCCCATCGTGGCTGAAATGAACGGAGCTGAATGCTGGAGTACGTGGTAGATGCGACCAGACAGCTGCTTCCTGGCCACGTTTGAGCTCGATTCCGGTGTCCTTCCAATGTTCTGCGCCCGCAGTGGGTTCCAAGACTGATGCTAGTTCTGTTCTCTTCCCCCCCCGACAGGGAGGTACAGAAACGAGCACAGGGCAGGAAGCGGATTGGCAAGAACTTCAAGAAGCGTTGGCTTCGTGTGACCAATCGGGAGCTGTCTTACCACAAACATAAGGGTGAGATGGGCGTCGCCACTCTGGGGCTGTGTGGTAGCGGGCACTCTCCGAACTTGGCGTAGCACATGGCAGGCATCTGAAGTCTGACCCCTGGGGGCAGTTTCTGCACTCGGCTGGTTTAGCGCCAAGACGGGGGGGCATGGGGGATTTGGGTGGTAAAATATTTTATTTAATGGGCAGAGGCATTTTTTGACTTTGTTTACTGAGCAGATGCCTTTATCCAAAGCGACATGCATTTTTCAGAAAGCAGAGTCTGCCAGTCCCTGGCTTAAGGTCCTTGCTCAGTGGCCCAATGGTGACATCACTCTGCCGACTCTGGGATTTGAACCAACGACCTTCCAGTCGCTGGCACAGTGTCCAAACATGCTGAGCCACACTGCACCCCCGACAGCTCAGATGTCAGAGCACGGGCACCCAGCTGTCGTGATTCATCACAGTGTCTCTCCTTCTGTTTACTTAACCCCCAAAGCAAAATAAAGTCCCCATTGAGTCCCAGGTTCCTGTATGGGGGCGGTTTGTGACTCTGTGACTTAAGAATCTGTGCCTGAGATCGGAAGGTCGCCAGTTCAAATCCCATGGCTGTTAGTGATGTTACTTTGTTACTGCTTTCTCAAAAAATGTATGCTGCTCTGGATAAAACCATTGGGCTAAATAAATGTATGTAAATGTATCGCTTTGGTCTGTCCGCCATCCTCTTAAAAACAGCCCTTCCAAACTAGCTGCTTATTTTCACGGCTGTCCTTTTTGGGGCTGTAAGTCTTTAAAAACGACATTGCTGCTGTCCTCGCTGGCGGGACCCTCATTCCTGTAAATACTGCTTTTTGTGAAATTCGGGGAAAATGTTACAGGTTCCGATGCCAGGGGAGGGAAAAGCGGTTTTATTGGTGCTTCTGAGCAGCTGGGCTCCAGTTTTTGTTTTTAATGCTGCTAGTAAAGATGTTTGCTTTGTAAAAACTTTTATGTGCCGAACAGGTCAGAAAGCCATCAACGGCTCCAGTAGGTGGAAGAACTTTAAACTTTATGGCCTCATTAGATGCGAAATCTGTGAGGTTTTCACACGGCGTAAAATACTGGTCATCAAAATATACAATGATCGTCATGGTTTTGCCCGTTTTTCTGAAATTAGGATTTTCTCAATGCTAGGATTCCTCTCTGGCTCAGGATGGGTCCCCGTAGCTCTGAGAATCTTCTTGCTTTACAGGAAAAGAGCCTCTGTGTGTCATTCCAGTGGAGACCATCCTGGGGGTGGAGAAAGTGGATGACAACGCCTTCAGTCGGAAGAACGTGAGTGTGGCACGAGCCCTGCGGCGGAGCGGGGGGCCGCGTAGCGTCTCCATGTGTGTGATGCCCTGTTCTCCTCTCAGATGTTCCAGGTGATGCTCTCAGAGAGGCCTCTGTACATCCAGGCCAGTAATTGCGTGGAGGTCTGCGACTGGGTGGAAGTGCTGGGCCAGGTGAGCCGTTGTAACCCGAGGCGACGGAGTCACCACCATCCCTCTGCCTACGTGTCCGGGGCCTGGCTCTGCTGCCGGGGCCTGAATGAAAGCCACCCCGGCTGCAAGCCTTGCACGTAAGCCCCCCCCCCCCCCCCCCGCCTAATGGCTCTCCCTCCTGCTGAGGCCGAATACACCAGCTGATATGGTTCTTATGGGGTGAATCTCAATACTGAGAACACAGACTGCACTTGTGGTCTAGGCAAGACCGGTCTTGCTAACTTGCCTTCCAAGAACAAACTTGGGGCGCAATGAATCATGGGATTGATCTTGTTCAGCAAGGATGCGACCAATGCGTGCTTGATATTTGGGGTGGAGCAAGAGCAGCATTCAGGGAATTATACCATCCTCTGTACTTCTGTTCTTGGTATTGGAACTGGTCTTCAGCAATGGAAGGTGACGTAAGACCAGTACACGAGAATGCAAATTCGGTCAAGTACACATATTGAGATTCACCCATTTTTTCCCCCTATTAGCTACCTAGTGAACAATAGAAGAACTGACATCTTTGTGGATAAGCAGCCACTCGGCATAGAAAAATTTGGAAAAATGGTAAACATGGTAAAATGTAACGATTTTAGGTTGTGTTTTTTTTCTTTCTTACTGCCCAGTCCTAGCCTAGCCAGCCTCCAACTCGAGATCGACTGTGACCGTGAAACCGAAAGGATCTTCTCCCTCTTTTCTGCCAACTACTCTAAGCTGCACAAAATGGAAGGTAAGTATGTCGCCTGAATGACTTTACCTGTAGGCACCGTTGCTTTATGCAACCTTTCAGTGTTTAGCGATGATATTCTAGTTTGAAAGGTGCGCTGATGTCCCGTGTCATGTTTGCGTGTCCTGACAGATGCCTGTTCCAGCATTTCTGTGTACCAGGGTCCTCAGAAAGAGCAGGAGGAATACTCTCTATTCACCATCCAGGACTCCAAAGAGACATTCCGCACCATCCGGGACATCTATGCAGTCTTAGAGGACTTAAGGGCGCAGCATGAGGCCACTAGGAATGCCCTAGGAACTGCCAAGTATGGCAGTCAGTAAGTGTTTGCTTTCGTTGTATTTGTGGTGTTTGCTGATGATTTTTTTGTGTGTGTGTATTTTTTCTTTCTAGTAATCTCTAACGTTTGTTTGTTTTTGTTTTGTTTGTTTTGTTTTGTTTTGGTTGTCTTTTAAGGGAAAACCCCATAGTCGGAAAGGGTTGTTAGCACACGGCCAAGAGTGCGATCAGCCATTGCGATCAGCCATGCGATCAGCGTGACCGTCGCAAGTTTAACACTGGAGCAACTCGGCATCAGAACATGCACTGGGAATGCTGCTCACCGGGGATGGAGAAAGGGCCACACTTGATATCGAGACGTAGACAGAACGGTGGGACCAGGATGGCAGACGTGATGTTTGCCTGATTTCTTATTGGGTTTTCTCCAAACCCCCCCTCCGGAAGCTGTTTGCGTTTCTGTTCCCTCTTCAATCAGTTCTTTTCCAGTTTTTTAAGGGAAGTCTTTCAGGAATCCTTTAGGCATGAATTGCCACTGAAGTTTAAATATGTTCAGTCTTGTGGTTCGTCGTTTAGTTGTGAAAGCAGAACGTGATTTCTGTAAATAGTCAAAATGCTTTCTTGGAAAATTTTGATTTTTGTCGTTCTTGGTCAATCAGCTGCGGTCCTCCCGCGCCTTTCTATTGTGCTGTCTCTGACGTTCACAAACTAGATAGCTATCAACAGCTAGGAACGTCTTGGTGGAGGGAACATTCTGCATGTCTTCTAACATATTTTCATTTAAGTGATTAATAGACGTTTCCTTGTTTTCTTTATTTATAGATGTACATAACTTTCTTTTGTCGTTTGTGGGGGAGAAATGTTTGAAGCACTTTATATTTGGAATATTCCAGATTGAATTATTTCGATACTTGGTATCATCTTACTTCTGTATTGATCAGTTAAATGATCACACATGATTTTTGTAATTCTTGTGCAGTGAGGATTTTAATATTTTCTGACACCAAAGAACTCAAGGTCAACTCGAAAAGGAAAGCCGTATATTTTGGACGGACATTTTAAAAAGTGAAAAAAAAGTTATGCTGTTTTTACTGTGTGTTGCGTGTCTGTGCCCAAACACTCCTGTTTTCTGGTTCTCATTTTGTTGCCACTCTCTCTGTGACCCATGGCTGCAGGTCATTTGTAATGTCATGATCGTGTCCAATCCTGCCCTTTTTTGTTTATACGGCCCCAAGTTGAAGGGAACTGGATGTGCCTCATTTTGTGTCTTGGGCCATTTGCTACTCTGCTGAGGCTTATGATTGAAGCTGAGACATTTGCCTCACCTCCAACCCCCCCCCCAAGGACATTAATCAGACGATGTTTACATAGTCAAATCATCGCTCTAATATTGGTTTTACACATAATTTGAATGAAATAATATAAACGGTGGATATAAACTTTAACTTCAGCAAAAAGTGAATCATTTTCTCTCTGCCGATGTTAGCATTCAGTCTATAGGATTGTATTTCTAACACATTGTGTAATTCGGTACTTTTTGATTTTACTCTGTTCAAACGAAGGTACTTCAGATGGTTGCAGTAAATGTGAGCACGTTGCTTGTTTGTTGAATAGTGGTGCTGTACTCGATTGCGTGGGGGTGAGATGTGTATTTGGGTGGTTCATGCCATTGCCTCCTGGTACTTTTTAAACAGACTGAACCATACAGTACTTTATTCATCTGCCAGTCCAGCTATACTCAGTAATACCATACGGTACTATTGTATGACTATACCGTATAGTACTGCGCTTTTTTGCCAATTTTATTGCACTGTACTTCACTCCCATGCCAGTTTAAACAGTCTAGTAATGTTTACTATACAGTACTCTCATACCCCATAAGAAAGTACTGTGCAGTACTGTATTTAAATTCCATAATCTCTCCAGGTTTATGTTCCTGTCACAAGGCCTTTCAGTCTGCTTGCTTCTACTCGTGTTTAAATCATGAAGAATGCTTAATATTGTGGGTTTAATCTTAATGTTTGTCCATTGTTTTTTGTTTTTTTTTGTTTTTTTCCCCCCCTCAAACAAGGGCGGAGATTTCAATGATGGAAAATTCGATCATTGAATATTCTAGAGAAGTCAGTCATGTCGAAGGCCTTGTTGACTTATGGGCAGCTTTCAGCACACGCTCCAGTCTGGTATCCATTATTGTTTTATCATGTACCATTCCAGTAGATGGTGCCCTCTGTGGGCCAGTGTGGCAAGCGCACTGCGAGTACCAGAGGATATATTAGGCACGACCTTTGAGATCAGTGGCCTGTACTACGAAGCGGGGTTACTGTCTCATTGGGGTAACTTGTCAGATTTAAGGTACCACAGTTTAAATGGACTTCATATTCGTTCACTTACATTTTGCCCAGACTACCTTAAATCGGACAAGTCCATAACCCCGCTTCGTAATACAGGCCCCAGCTCCCTGGGACTTTTGAGTAATGAATCAAAATACTGCCCCTCAGATCTGCATGACGTAATGTAGTTCATTCAGATCTGTGACCTCTGACAGCAAAATGGTATAGTTCAGCCTGCGCTGTGGCCACTGGATGATGCGTTTCGGAAAGTACCATTAGATTTACGATGGAGGTGGTGATGCTTCTCTACCCTCCATTCTTTCTAATCATTTCCCTAATCACAGAAAAAAACTAGTTGACTATACTAAATATATTGGAATGTTTTTGTTTTATTTAAACTTTTATAGTTTTTTAAAACAAATTAATATTCTTTTTATTGTTGCTGGAAATATTTTACAATAAAAAATGTTGTCGGCTCTATTACTGCTAGCTGGGGTCTCATTGTTTGGCCATTATTTTTAAAGGGAATCAATGCTAAGTGCTAATGAAGAACTTTGTGGTCTTACAGCCTTCCGTCTTGTTCTCTACCCACATCCCATACATGCTACACTGGTACATGCAGACGGGGCATCTCTCTTTCAGTTTTGTCCTACATGAGAAGACCCTACCAGAGGCATTGTGGGAAATGTCAGTAGAATGTGGAAGATGCATCTCCTGTGTGTGGATCTGCAAGTGATCAGAAGGTTGCCAGTGTGAATCCCACAGCTGGAACAGTGACCACTGTTAGGCCCTTGGACAAGGGCCTGAATATATGGGTGAAGTGCTAGATATACTCAGTGTAAGGAGAAAATAGCTTCTGGTTTAAGTAAGTCTATATCTGAAATCTAATGTATCCATATGTAACAAAACCTGTTACAGAAAAATACATATGACACATTTAGGTCTACATGGGAGTGGTATACGCTTGGCCAGTTACCCTTAGTCTGGGCTTAGCATGCTTTCTTGTTAAACATTATTTGGAAAGGAGGACAACGTACACAGGAGAAAAGCTTCAAGACAGAGGTTTGCCGAGAACATGGAGGTGGGTTCTCCATTGTTGGGGTTTCTTTGGTGTGCCTGTGGGTGTGATGCACACTGCTGTTCTCCTGATGACTCCAAAGACGACACAAAAACCCACTAATCTTTTTGTATTGACATTGGCCGTGACTGACCGGTTATGGTTTTCCTGGGATTCAGTACGCACCACCAAGACTCAGAACAAAGGCGGACTGGTAACACTGGTGTGTGTGGATAAGCAGGTGGAGATTATATGTGAACCCCACAGAAGTCGCAGACACGTTTAACCTGCGATGTGGCCCACATCTCAGAGGATGGGAAGACGCCCCCAAGTGTCTGGGAAACATTTGTTGTTCTTTGGTTGCTCATTCCTGGGATTTGGCAGACATGTTCTAGCTGAAACGTGGCCAGAGCTGTCCCTGCGCTCTACTCCAAGAAAAACAGTCCGGCGTGGGAGAGATGAGAGGCAGGTGTTGATATGAACATTTTGTCATCAGCAGCACTCGACATCCATTTTTTTATGCTACAAAGCTGAAATTACAGTAAAGCACAGTGTAAGTATCACTACTTAGTTCCTCTTGTTCAGTACATCCCATAATGCATTTCTTCCAGATTGATTTTGAACGAATGTATGTTACATTTATATAGCACTTTTCAAGACACCTAAAGTCCTTCACAGAACCAATGGGGAGCCACTTCAGCCACCAGCACTGTGTGGCCCCCACCTGGATGATGTGG